AGGAATTTGGACTCTAATTAGGAATCCAAAGGATTTACCAGAATGTGTTCTGTGGGATGGTGATAGGAAAGAAAGGGGTTTTGTAAGGTCAAAACTGCTTGAGAGGCACCAGCTGAGACAAAGTTAGTTAAGCAGGTGCATTTATTGTAAAGCCTCTCAGACCCTTTGTATTGAGTAAAATTTACACTACTAAATTTGTTTGAAGGGGTATCATCTGTTTCTCAGAATGTGCATGGTTTGGGAAACCTTGCAATATGCAATGAGGATTCATTAGCAAATGTTTTAAGCAGAGAATTATAGACAATTACATAATCTAATTCTATTATCAACACATCATGTGATATTGCTCATTAGATATTGTTCAACCGATTTTTTTTAACACCAAATAATTTCAAAGTGATGTGCTAGATATTCTAGGAGATCAGAAAGATGTGCAAAATGTGTCTGGCACTTAAAAAAAGCATGTTAGTTATCTATAAATGTTATTCTGTCCAATTGAGTCAAAAGCAATGCAAAAGCGAGGAAGTTGAGGGTAAACTTGGGGAACTAAACTCGGTGGCCTTTGCTTAGTGCTGATTTCTATAAGGTGCTTAATGCTAATTCTTTTTCCAAAGATTGTCACCACTCAAAAGCATGTGCTTCTTTTGCTTCTTTTTGGATTTGGATTGTTTCTGGCTAGGGTCTTCATCCCTGCAGCTCAGGGAGTGCAAAGGGAAGAAAGCTGCCTAATTGAAACTCGAATTTTTTCAGGGGGTGGGGAGTGTGGGGAGTAGTTGTTGATTTGTTTAACCCTCAAAAGTACTATATCATCCACATATTGAGGTTTTGGTAGATTCAGGTGGACTCAGTTCTAGGCATCTTTAGGTTATATGTCCTAAAGGTGTATCTAAGGAGTTTTAGAGAAAATTTTCGAAGGTGAAAGAGAAAGATAAGTTGCACGTGGTAGAACAGAAAGATTCAATCTGGAAGTCCTTAATTCTCTACTTTTTCAATGTCGAGAGAGAATCTTCAAATCTTCTTGAATTAAATGAATCCTTATTAAGTATTTAGTATCAGCCACCTTGTCAATTAGGAGAGCACAGAATCAGAGTATCTAGAGTGGATTGGCAGCAACCTCAGGCTTTCTCGTTGCCAATCATGTAGTGGTCAACAGCACTGACCCTGGAACTAGAGGGCTTGGGTTCAAATCTGCTAAATCATTCAGTCCGATTACTTAAGGGTTCCACTTCCTTTTTTTTTAGGAGGAATTGCACTGCAATTTATTTTTTTTAATTGAAGTATAGTCATTTTACAATGTTGTGTCAATTTCTAGTGTATAGCATAGTGTTTCACTTATACATACAAATGTTCCTTTTCATATTCTTTTTCATTATAAGTTACTACAAAATATTACTATACAGTAGAAACTTGTTGTTTATATATTTTATATATAGTAGTTAGTATCTGCAAATCTTGAACTCCCAATTTATCCCTTCCTACTTCCTCTCACCGCTGGTAACCGTAAGTTTGTTTTCTATCTCTGTGAGTCTGTTTCTGTTTTGTAAATAAGTTGCTATACAGTAGAAACTTGTTGTTTATATATTTTATATATAGTAGTTAGTATCTGCAAATCTTGAACTCCCAATTTATCCCTTCCTACTTCCTCTCACCGCTGGTAACCGTAAGTTTGTTTTCTATCTCTGTGAGTCTGTTTCTGTTTTGTAAATAAGTTGATTTGTGCTTCTTTTTTTTACTCCAAATATAATTGATATCATATGGTATTTCTCTTTCTCTTTCTGGCTTACTTCACTTAGAATGATGATCTTCAGTTACATCCATGTTGCTGCAAATGACATTATTTTATTTTTTATGGCTGAGTAGTATTTCATTGTATATATAACCTGTATCTATATCTATATCCATATCTATATCTGTATGTTCTTTATCCAGTTATCTGTCAGTGGACATTCAGGTTGTTTCCATGTCTTGGCTATTGTAAATAGTGCTGCTGTGAACGCTGGGGTGTGTGTATCTCTTTGAATTAGAATTTCTACTTCTTACCAGCTATAATATCTTAGGCAAATTACTTAACCTTCCTATGCCGCAATCTCTCCATCTGAAAATGGGAAAATGATAATATGTACCTCATGAGGTCCTGAGGATTAAAAGAGCTAATAAATGTGAAGTGCTTAGAACAGTGCCTGCCACAAGATAAGGCTTTCAACTGTTGTCAGTAGGATATCTTTATCCTATTGTGGCAATCAATTCTTGAGTAGTAAGTTTTCTGGCCTGAATAGGATTCTGTGTTTGGAGAATGGCCTGCTAACTCTAAGTAAGATTGGGTATAAATGAACTGTTAGAAGTTTTTAATTCATATAATTTAAAAATAAAGCAAATATTTGTACATTTAAATAATAATAAGAGCTAACGTTTGTGAGCATATACTATGTACTAGGAGTTGTTCCAAGCATTTTTTACCAATTAACTTATTCATTACTTGAGAGTTGAGGAAACTGAGGCACTGAGAGGGTAAGGAACTTTGCCAAGGTAACACAAATCCTTAGGGGCAGGGCCAGGATTCAGACTCAGGCAGTCTGATCTCATAGCTCACATACGTCCTTTGTGATATCCTATCTTTCATCCAAATGTGTTCTGCATTTTAGATTGGTTTGTCAAAGTGTTTTATTTCATTGACCGAAAACATAAACTAAGTAGAAAACATAAGTTAAAAATTAAATCATTCAGCATAAAAATACTCCTTTTTCTGTTCTAGAGAAGAGTAGCTCCTTGCATCAAATGTTAGAGCCATATTAACTATGATTCTTTTGTTTTGTGGAGTATGAGATTAAGATTATGAGCTTGACTTCACCACGGCATCCAGATACCTGTATCCATCCTTTAGAACTGTTTTTCATTTTCCATCTCAACTACATACTTTCAGGGTAGTATGTAAGTAATGTCACTTTATGTGCCTTTTTGCAAAATTATATGCTTTTTTCTGCTATCCTTATAAGCATTAAAATAATTAGGGTTATATAAAAACCTAACCTATGAAATGCGTGCTTTCTGGGAGTTGACAACAGAGAACACTGTGACAAACTGTACTTTTTGCATTCTTCGGTGTAAGAAGGCTAGTCTGCTCTAAAAAGAATCACTCTGTTGCTCTACTTGGTGCTAGCATAGCTGGGTTCACTTTCAAAGAAAACTGGGCAAAACTGATTTGCCACTAGATGGAGCCCTGGCTGTTTGGGTGGAATAAATGCAACACAGCTGGAACATTAAATCATGCCGTCATATCATATCATGCAGGAGGGCCCTGGTATTTGAGGCCCTCAGCTTTTAATTGTAGAATACATCTTTGTTCTTTGCCTGACCTGCAGAGTGACATCACTCCCTTTCTTCCTGTGTGCTGGCTTTGACACAAGCCAGATGGCTGTGGCCATCGGTAGGCGCACAGGCCGCCTGGTACAGCAGTTGATGAAGCAGAATAGGAAGACGTTTTATGGTCAGCTGCGGGAGCACAAGGAGGCTGCAGCTTTGCTAAGTAATTACATTTACCGTGCACACTTATTCCTCACAGAGAAGGTCACAAAGGAAAAAATACATTTTTATTTATAGCGTTGTGAGGTATAGACCTTTGATCTTTTATTAGTCAGTAGTCTGCTCCAAAGGAATGCTCTCTTTCCCCTGCTCTGCAGTCACTCGTGAAAATGACATGTTTATTTATGTTTAATGGTTCTTTCAGGCTGTGCATTGTGATCCTTACCTTCCCTCTTCCTCCCTTTTGTCTCCAGTTAGTAACACAAAAATGTTTTAGTTTTGTAGTGAGTTTAGTTTGGAGAAGTCAGAGTTCAAGCATGTTAATACAAGCAGATTTCTGTCAGATATACTCCAGAGTGATTTGGTAAAATATATTACTGTTTATTATGTGTTTGTTCTTCAAGGAGGTCAGAAGAGACCAGGAACAGACTTTTATTTTGGGGGAGGTGGGTGGGAATGAGGGTCAGGAAATGAACGAGACATTAATTTTATATCCATTTTTGGACATTTAGTGTGAAGTTCACTTGTAATGCTAATTTAAAATAAAATATTACAAGTTAGTATTAATCTAGTATTTTCTACCACCATATGAAGTTAATCTTTACCAACTGAAAGATTGTACAAAACTTTAAAGAAAATCCTAACTGAACTTTTAAAAAAAGTTTTAACGTTCACACTATTTTGAGATTCTTCCACGTGATTCATTTCCAGAAACTTTAAAAAATATTTTTACCCTTTGTGAGGCTAGGTTGTGAGCATTATTTACATAATTGATCTAGAAATTATAAATCATAAAATCAAATGAAAATTCATAGGTGATACACGTTCATCAAGCTTAACGCTGTTTCTAAAATGAAGCCTCCTAGTTGTCCTTAGGTTATTTGTCTATTTTTTTTTTTAATGGAACTCTAAAAAGAAATCTCTTGATCTTACAGTATTTTTGCAGTCTTCTCCAGGGAGGAAGATCTGCAAATAATTGCTGGAAGGAGGGAGCATGGCTTTGTAGTCAGAACAGGGTTTTCTAATCCTTTTCCCACTGGCTGTTTGCTTTGTGCCCTTGAACCTCTGAGCCTTGGCTTCCTCACATACGTATTGGTGTTAAAACTTCCTTCCTAGGTTTATTGTAAGAATTAAATGACACAATATATATGTATTAGACCCCAGACAGTGCCTGTCCCTTGGTTCGAACTCAGTAAATGCTAATTCCTTTCAACTGGTTTAAACCTCGTCCCTTTTTCAACGTCCTGCAAAATGTGTTCACAGATTACACTGCTATTGTATAGTGTGCATTTTATTCATAAGCTATGAATAAGTTTGGGTTGAAAGTAAGCTCACCGTCTGAAAAGCAGGCATTTGAAATTTATTAGCGCTGTGTGTGTGTTCAGTTCCAGACAAAACCGTAACCATCAATTGTGCGATGAATGTGTTTAACATTTGTGATGTTTTAATTTGTTTTTGTTTTCTTTTTTTCTCCTACTCAGCTCTTGCCCCTGTTCTTTGCCTCTCGTTTTGTTGGTGAAGATATCACAGTGATGTCTGCATTCAACCTGCTGCATTTGGTGACAAAGAGCCAGCCAGTAGCCCTGCGAGCCTGTGGGCTTCCCTCAGGTTGCTGCTTCTTATACTGTACTTAGTGAGGGCACTGGTCCAGGGTGGGGGGTGTTTCTGCTGCAGGAAATGATACACCATAATGCTTTGCTAAATTTCGTTTTCTTTTACTTGGGCCCTAATTTGAAGACAGAAATTGGTTATAAATCACCACTCTACTTTGAGTAACATTCATTTCCACAATCCTTACCACCCCTGGAAACATTGTCCAGTTTCCTTGCTCAGTATATAATTGTCACTAATATTTTATGATATCTTCTTGTTCTTTAATGTACACCACACATCTGAAAATCATAATGTTCATAAGGAAGCTGGCAGTTTTGATAAGAAACTGCCTCAAATCACACAAAAGAGGACATTCATCTTGTTGGAAGATAATGAAAATGCTTTTCATTCCACATGTGGTCATTCCTTTAGGAAAGAAAAAATTAAAATGAACAACTTTAGTATAATAAAATTAGTTATTGTACTTTCAAAGAAAAGATGTTCCATTTAACAGTGGCCAAATAAAGAGAACTAATATAGCATCTGTTAACTAGTTCATAAATTAGGACCATCCCCCTTTTTTAAAAAGGTGATTTTAAGCATTTAAACAAGTGAGACATAAAAGTCCAAAATTTCATTATGTGCCTATATCATGTTTAATATTTTAATTTTATTATGAAAATCATAATGTCCAGATATCTTCTGTGAATATTATTGTCAATATTATTCATATTTTCTTTTAGTGTACATATCTCTATTACCATATTATATAGACAAATTAAATCCAGCTCATTAAATATTCATTGAATATTAACTATGAGTGCCAGGCATTGTGTGAGGAAATGAAGATACAATGAGAAACAAGATCAAGCCAATTCTTTAACACGCACAAGGTGGAGATGGAGCTGTGTGAGACCATTAAACCATATGGTGATAAGGCTAGACTAAAAGCATTTAAGCCTGAGATGTTAGGAGAATCCATAGGATGGTTCTAGTTCTTTGCTTAGGGGAAGAGATTTTGGAAGGGAGGGCAGGACTCCGAAGTTTAAGGAGGGCTTCATAGCGGATATATTGCTTGAGCTGAATTTCAAACTATGAGTAAGAGTTAGCCAAATGTTCAAGGAAGGGGAAGGAGATTTCTAGTATATGAAGTAGTGTGGGCAAAACATGAAGGCCTGAAAAAGCAAGCATGTTCAGAGAGACGCACGTTATTTAATATGGCTAGCTTGAGTGGGTGAGGCCAGGTAGAAGAGGTGATGATGGAAGGTAGCCAAACCATAAAGTGAACTTATACAATGTTTTAAAACATTTAAATCTCGGAGAAGGGATGAAGGAGGAATAGCATGACTTGATTTACATTTTATAAGGACTTTTGATTTAGTATGATGGAAGGTCAGTGCTGGTTCCAGATATTTCTATGAGAAGGTTGGGATGGCAACTTGATTAGAAGAGTAGATAAGGCATTTGTCTTGAAGCTGTACTTGACTGGTAAATATGCTATTTAAAAAAAAAAGATTTTACGTCTATTTGTGGTGACGTGAGAGGCCAGTGAAGCTTAATGTATGGGGTCTCCAATCACTTTTCCCAATTGCCTTTGCTTCCCCTACCCCGCCATGCCCCTGCACTGCCACCATTGAGTATGTTGGAGGAGTTTGAGGCTGGAGGGACTGATGAAGGGCTTAGAACCTTAACAATGATCATTACAGTAGGTTTGGAAAGAAGAGGAATGGATAAGACAGAAATTCAGGTTGTAGAACTGACAAGGTTTATTTGTTGAATTGTGTGTAAGCTTGAGGGAGAATATCAACCGATGTAGCTCCTGTGCCATGTAGGACTTTTTCATAACTATGTACTACATGTAACAATTGGAGTATGAAAGTTATTTAATTGATACATAACCATGTTTTCCACTGAAAAAGCCCCCAAGGTATGAGAGCACTAGCATAGTTCTTATAACATGTTTTATCATACACCAAGGAGGCTAAGTATTTACAGAAACAACTAATTAATTAACATGGTATTCCTTGGGTATGACAGTTGTGGATTTAAAGAGCTTCATAATGAACTTGCTTAATCAAAATATGTGTCTTTAAATTTTGATATCAAAATGATTCAAAGATAAATTCAACAAAGCTGATAATTTTTAAGAATCATTATAGAACAACACTTAAGCATACGAACTTGGGAATTCGACTGGATCTGAATTCTGGCCTTGCCACTTAACTGACTGTGTGCCTTGACTTCCTTGTTTGTAAAGTGGGAATAATAAGTACTCACCTGAAAGCGTTGCTGTGAGAATGAAATAGATTAGTATGTGAAAACTGCTTAGAACAGTGGCTGGCATATAGTAAGCACTATATATAAATGTTCACTAAGTTCACTATAGACAATCTGTATCAATATAGATATATAATTTTTCTATTTTTCTAGTACAGTGACTTTTAAAAACACTTGAATATGTCCCACCTTTCATTTAACTATTTTTACTTTAATAGGAGCCACAAATGCACTTTATGTTTGAGAAATAACCATCTCAATCTGTCGTTTTGATCTTTTTATTTTACTTATACATTCTATTGAACCAGAATTCAAGTCTTATAAACATACAATGCATTTCTTTTATTCTTATTATCCAGTAGTGGTGGAAGCTCAGAGAAACTCTTTCTTACTTAGTGCTTGTAAACCCATTTTTATTTGATAAATGATTTGGCTGGAATGGTATTTCATAATTCCTTAGCCATTCAAGCACCACTTACTTTTTAAAGTGTCATGAAACTCAGTCTTCCAGTGTCCACATATTTTATTACTTAAATATTAGGAAAATCTTGGTAACCATCTATTTCTCTAACAGAATTTTACTCTTAGAAATATAGTTTAAGAAATGGTTAAGTTCAACAGTATTGTTAAACAAACTATTTAAATCTTGAAAAATAAAAATGAAAGTGAAATGGGAATTCTAGTCTTTATGACTTTATACAGGTAGAAAGGGAAGAGGCCAAAATTGGAGATATAGGAAATTAAGGTAAAAGTTTGACGTCTTGCTTTAATTTACTGTTCCCTGGTCAAAACCCATTACAACAAAAATCTCTGTAAATCTAAAAGATTTCTGCTCCCTAGCCAGTACCCTACTAATTTCAGGCATTATTCTATATGAAATAATTCCAGAACTGAAAAGTAATTGGAACAGGCTCTTCAAGTTGATTATAACTGGATTGACCTGTATGCAGGCCATATCCCAGAAGGCTGATCTATCATTTTTCAGCTTTGACTTCCTTTTCTTCTTATTTTTAAATAAGGCATAATTTCAATTTAGAGATTATTAAGTGCATCTGAGTTATGGTTCGCTCATGTTTGTAATTAAAGGTAATTTTTTTTCTCTCAGAGCTCTTCTTAATTTCCTATAACAGTTTCTTTTATGTATTAAAAAGAGCACTGGAATAGGAGTCAGAAAACCAGCCTCAGCTCTGTCATTAACTTGTGTGACCTTGAATATATCAGTAAACCTCTCCAGATTTGTCTCTTTACTTTTAAAACGAGGAATTCAAATTAGATAATCTACTCAGTTCTGAAATTCCGTGATTTTTTTAAACTGTCATTGTTTTTACTTTGGCTTTGGGTTAATCAAATCTTAAAACTCAGTACCAATTAATAGCTGGGAATTTACAGAAAAATTTGCTCTGTTGTGGTGGGAGGACAGAACTGTTTTCCATGTTTGAACATTAGAATTCCTTGCCTCTAAATCAAGACTGAAGCATTATCTGAGGAGGGATTAGAAAGCACAATTTTATACATAGTTGCAATATTTGATAAAAATTAAGTCTAATTGTAGTTTAGACTAGATATCATGGTAGCTTTCAGCCAAATGAGAATGTTTGTCTAAATAGTACTAATTACAGTGATCAATTGTTCTTTTCTCTAACATCATACACATAATATGTGGTTGTTATTCTTACTTGACTTTAATGGCGTGTTTAACAGTCTCCATGAATTGAAGAGCCATATGGCTGTTTATACAGTTTGTAAAGATATTATGTCATAATATTCTAATATAGAAATGATAAGTCTTAAAGACAGATATTTTGCAAATGGTGTTGCAAGTCATGGGCTATCATCTGTATAAGCAGAGCTCTCTGAGAATTGAACTTGAGGCTCCAGAGCTTAGCACAGTGCCTGGCACTTAATAAATATTTGTTAAATGAATGAATAAACATTTTGAAAGTTTACATGTAGGTGAAGTGATAGCTATAACAGAGAGTACAAATTTATTTGAAACTCTTTTAAGTCTCAAATAAATCTAATGGGAAGGTTAAATTAAAGTTTATAGTTTGGTTGCCTTCTGAATATATTGTGAAAAACAATTTCTCTCTTCTCACTTTATTGCATTAATACAATATGGTAGATTTCTTAGGTATAAATCACATTGTAGCTAAACAAGTAACAAAAAATGATATCACAGATTCAGTGTATATTATCCAAAGTTGCTTTTCCTTTTTCTAACAAACAATTTGAGTTTTGGTGGTAAATTATTTGAGGAAGGGAGTAAGTGTGTACTTACTATGAAAATTAAGAACGCTGGTTCTTTTGATTGGTTTTCTCTGGAACAAATTGATACTGTTTTTGTGCTGTAAGTTCTGCATTTGTAAAAAGGAAATGCTACAGACATGCACAAAAGCAACACCCATAAATAAGTACTACTATTCAAGTTTGAGCTATCAGTGTTTCATTAGTAGCATCTGATGTCATATTTACCTTAAAAAATAACTGAAGTCATTGATGTACTATTCACCTACTAAATAGATTGGCTTTCTATATTAGTTTTACTTTTTAACCTTCCTGGGTCATGAAAACATGAATCATCTCTGTGATTCTTTGATAAAAGTTATGACTTTCCACCTCCAGAAAATACATGTGCACCTCTACAATTTTTCATACCATTTCAAGTTTTTTGGTTAGGTACTCATAAGAGAAGGCTCTTTGACCACAGCTTCAGAACCATTCTTCTAAAAGATACACAC